CAAATATATGATAAATGTTATTACTAATCAACTTAATGCTAATTGTTTTATTTGCATATAAATTAAGTGAAAAATTATAATTCATAGTAGAAGAATATAAAATGTTATAACAATAGCATTAATATTATAATTAAAAGGGTAATAAAAAGTATACTTCAAAAACATGCACTTTATCGCTTCGTTTGTGGTGACCGTCAAGTTCCTGCCTGTAAGCTCCAGGACAGAACGTCCAAGCTCAGGAATCGTAAGATTTCAAAAAAAAAAAAAAAAAAAAAAAAAAAAAAAAAAAAAGAACCTTCCAAATGATGCTTTGCAAAGAGATTCATACTGTCGTTATGTCGTTAGAGTGGCTATGACAGACAGAAGCGGATTGGTCTACCTGATATGCACGTCTGAAGGCTGGCAAGGTAAGCGCTGGGCTGCATCTAATCAGCTGACTTGGCAACTGATCAAGCTAAAATAATGAGTGTGGTAAGCACGTGCAAAAAGTAGCGCAGGCATTCTGAAAGTAGTAGGGGACCTTTGTGCTCTGCTTTCAGGATAACCTCTTGAGCAGCAAAATATTTTTTTGCAAAAAAAAAAAAAAAAAAAAAAAAAAAAAAAAAAAAACGACAGAAGCGCAACCATTTTATCTCTAAACAATAAGCGGAGCAAAACGAAAATGAAAATAGTGACATCTGTTTGAAGAGAATACTAACAAAACGCGAAGATTATGGGCTCTGAAAGTGTTCATTTTGGCTCAGTTCACGAATAATGGAGATAATTAGCCTTTACCAATGGTTAACAGTTATTGTCCTACATCCAGTACTGACTAGATTATTTTTTTAAAAATAACAATAACCAAAAATTTCTACGCTTTTCATATTTTAGGAATTTATACATTAAAATTATGAAATAGCGTAGAAATTTCATAATTAAAATTTATAAATTTTTAAATATATGAATGAGGAATAAAAAATTAAATAAAGAAATGAAATTGCATTAAAAATAAAGTACATCAGGTCCATAAAATTTGAGCAGACAGTTATAAAATAATTATACCTCGAGAACTATATTGAAATTAATATAATTAATTTATTGTGTATGTTTTCAGTGTGGTTTGAAATATATCGAAGAAACTAAAGAGTATAAAATTTCGCGTCCAGAAATGGGTTTATGCTCGCAATGAAGAAAAACGTCTTCAGTAGCAAATCATGTTAGATACTTCATCAAACTTCCGACTTTGGAGAAACAAACCACCAGGCTTCTTCAATAAGTGAAATGGATTTCTTTCAAGCTTTCCACATTTATAAAAATCGATCTTTAGTTAATGATATTAGCTAATCTATCTATAACTAAAGATTTAAGTTAACTATTTAGTTAATGATATTAATTAGTTTTCCTTAAAGCTTTGAGAATTCTAATATATTAATTTTTCATAATTAGTCCAAAGGGACTTTGTCCTTGAAGGATTATTGTTTTCGTTTTGCGATTTTGCGTTGAATCACTATAAATGTCCGTTTCACTTTTTAGACTGATGCCAGCAAATGTTAGAGTCCTGCATTATATTTGAAGAAATTAAATAATGAAAAATCTGCATAAATGCATGTATATTTCTTGCATTGTTCTAAAACAACGGTACAAACAGCCATCGAATTTTGAATGACGCAATTCTCCTACGAAAATGGGCATGTGGAAGACCAAATTTGAAATTTGGAATTAATTTTACTATCGATTTCATATTTTGTAAAACTTTAACGAATTTTTGATTAACAAGCTCAAGGATTTCAAAGCGAGCAATGGCAGCACTCTACGGGGAAATAAAACATTTTTATCTCCAGTGTGTGGAACTGTGTATCGGAAATTCTAAAGATATGCTCATTTTAAAATTATTTTAAAAGATTGCTATGGAACTGAATTGCAGGGTTTAAGTGCAAAGAACATGATATTTAATAAATAAAGGTAACACACAAAACATTAAAAAAGCGCTCCTTTGGACGTAATTTAAAATCTGAAACCTTTCAGATTTTTTTAATTTTTATTCTTTATCTACGCCAAAATAAGATTTTTTTTGTCTAATTTTACATCGTCCTATTTCTCAGCCAGTCTCCGCACTTGCTAGAATGTCGTAACGAATTAAGTGTTTAAACATCTTATTATCCAATTCTTGTATTCCTTTAGTGACACTTGATTTAAGCTGTGTGAGAACGATAAGGCCAAAAGAGAATGAATTTAAAGCAAAGACTAATATAGTTAATTTATTCTACCAAGCTATTAGGTTAGAAGTGTGTAGGTGAAAACTGATAGGTAATTTCAATGCAAATATTGCATTTAAGTGCCAAAATATGCATCATATTTTAAAATTACTGAAATTTGATACGTTCGGCTCGGTATAGTTCTTTACAAAGTTTCAAATTTGATAAAACGTTTGGTAGAGTTTATTAAGTGCAATTTAATAATGATTTTGGTAGTGACATGAAGAGTCAAAGCATAGTCTTGTGAAATATTACTTACTTCAAAACTTTTCTATTATCGGGACCGCATTCAGAAATATATGTATATATGCATATCTGTAGGTATGTTTGTGTGCATGTATGTAAATTTTCAAATGTAAATAAATATGTACATAAAGATACATTTTCAGGAAGAGTTGCGTTAAATCGTACTCTTTCTGGCATGGCAAAATAGAATACGATAAACAAAATAAGTTAACGTTTTTATAGAGCTAAGAGTTCGGAAAGAACTTAAATTCAAAAAATAGAAAATAAAAATAAAAGCAAAAGCTAATAACTGGCTAATGAACGGCTCAGCCATTTTATTTATGGCTGACAGACTTTTAACATTCCAGACAGTTTTATGTGCATATATAAAAGTTGAAGAAATTAGAAATACTATTTAAATCCAATATGTATTCCACCTGGAATAAGGAGGTGGAAAGTATAAAATATAAAAAATAAGAATTGTTTTAAAATTCAATAAAACACTGTAAATGAAACTATCTAATAGTGAGATGTAAGAGCACTGCATAAAAAGTGGTAGTGCAAACAACACATAATTTGCATCTCTCGTCAAATCATTCTCTGGAAGTTGATATATAATCAGAGGCAAATCCCTGTTTCTAGACTGATAATGTCCCAAATTTACTAAATATAAAACTTCAATAAATTACATATCAGATAGTATCTTCAGCAATCCGGACCGGACTGATGAACTGAGACTTTTAATGCATTTCTGTCCTTTGATTTATAATGTTGGACACATTTTACTCACAGAGATTTATTGCATTTTAAAACAAGTTTTTTTCTACTTTTAAAATTTTCTAGCTGTTTGTTTCAGGTTGAATTGGATATTGGTTTATAAATTTCTTCATTTTTACTTTTGGATAGAAACGTGCGATACAGTTTTAGTTTTTCATACATCTAAACATTTCAAAGGCGGGAGAAAAACTTGTACTCAGTCATTAATATTTGTGTAGATTTCCTCTATTTTTGTTATCAGTTATTATTTTCTTACTTTTACAACGTATTAAATAATTATTAAAAGTAACTGAGAAACTCTAAAGTAATCAAATGAAATAAAATAGGTAAAAAATACGCTAAATATGTTAAAAATATGCTAACTGTTTGGAAATAAAATAAAAGCTAGTTTTGCATAAGACGATCTTTCAGTAATCGTACCTGAATCAAATTAATTTTATTTTAAACAAAATGGTATACTAGAAGCATACATACAAATTTAAAACTAAAACATGGAACCAATGACCTATCATATTTCTTTTATTAAGTATAATAAATTGTAATTTATTAGCTCTGGGTATCATAAGGCTGCACATTTGCATGTTTCTATTTGTAGTTTCTTACTCTATGTCAAATATTACGTAAGATACACCATACACACAGAGACAAAGAAAAAGGGGGAGAAGGAAAAAAGAAAACATTTTACGATTTAATTTGTTAGTATTCAGTTTAACACCTGTGGGAGCAGAGATAGATACATTGAGAATTGAAATGTTTTGGGGATGTAATCCAACGGAGAGATCTGAGCATCATCTTTAGATGGAGACTTGTCAGACTCTGAAAATGATCAAGAAGCATATACATGTATATGCATTTGTGCAAAACATGCGTTCCAACGACAAAGAAATGCAAAAACGTCTCATTATTTTAAGGATGTCGGATGCATAAAATGCAGCTAAATATTTTTATTTAACGATTCGTTTCCTAAAGGAAATAAAAAAATGGACTAGAAAACATAACGATTATTCATTACCACTGTATGTATATGACCGGAAATGTATGATTTAAATATATAATAAATTAGATGAATTAAACATATCATTAAAAATAAAATAAATATTAAATATTTTTAATACTGTATTAGGCAACATAAATACTTTAATTTGTTAAAAACAAGTCTCGTGCAACAACAGCATTTCATGTTGCTTTATCCGTGTAGGACCGGAATTTATCTGCAGGTGAAAATAATAACATTCCTTCGAAGTGTTAAGAATAAACTAATTTTCAAAAAGCAATATAACGTTATTCTTGTATTCATACTTTACAAATTCAGCAATTTAAAATTTTACAATGCAGTTTTAATAAATATTTCATAATTAATAAGGTAATGAATATAACAAAAAAGATAATTGTTGGTTTTTACTTTATTTGATGAAAAATGCATTGCACTGACAAAAATAAAATAGACTTTCATTTATTAGTAATATCACGGCCTACTGTGTTGATTTTTAGCTTTTTTTACATTTAAAAACAAAAAAAAGAATTCTTATGGATTCAATATTAAAATTTTGATAGATGCAGATTTCGTAAGGCCAGGCACTTTCTTGTCTTTGATGATATGGAAGACAACATATTAAGTATTAAATTTTACATTATATGTTTAATTTTTTCAAAATTTGAAAAATCCATTTGAGTTCCAATGACGCCAATGTTATGTAACTAAGAGCTCTGTTGCAAAAAATTCTTTTAACGACTGATACTTACATTTAATAAACATATTAACAAGCAAGAGTTTTCTAATTCAGAAGTTAAACAACAAAAATCAGCGTTATATCTACAAAATTTTCACAGGACTAGTTTCGAAGGTTTTACCGAACCGCAAAACCGCAAAAAAATAAACAAGAGTTTCTCATTAAGCAGATATTCCAGCATTTGCTTTGCATGTTGCACCTACAAATTAAGTTGTAATAATAATGATTTATAGCCATTATTTTCTTTATCATCCGTAAGTATAATTACACAGTTTCATTAAACTGCAAGAATATTTTTTCATCATATATTTCGTCTTTATTCATTACAATTCCTGTAGTCCGTTTTTTGAAAACTTTGAGCTATGTGTACAAATTCCTGTGGGCATATATTATTACTGCAGAAATGTGTATTAATAAACTTACTTAATAAGTAACATTTTCAGGTTTCCTGAAATTATGTATTATGATTTCAGTACAAAATTTCAGATCATACAAAAGTAGAACATGTGTTAAATTTTAAATGCGTGTATATGTCGATATAATAAATAAATACTTCATTGCAAAGTGAGAAGTGGAGTACCAAATAACAGAATATTAAATGTTTAGTTTGAGACATAATAGACACACACAACATCATGAATGCTTAACAGTCAATTGTTGATAAACTACTACTGTATGTTTATCCAGTAAAATATATACTTTATATTTATGTTTATATGTATAGTCACTTTATATTTACTGCTTTGGAACTCAGATGGATGTTGCCATTCAATATCAAACAAAGGTTTTTCTAAATAATTACTTAAAAAGTATCTTCCTGAATGCTTTTCGGAAGTCCCTGTTGAAAATGGTATATATAATAGGGTTTAGTGCAGAATTACAGTAGCCAAGCCAGAAAGCTATAGCAAATCCTGTTTGCCCAATATCGCAGGCTTTGCACAATGCTTCGAGGACATAAAGTACGAAGAAAGGAAGCCAGGCCAATATAAAAGAGGCCATAATTAAACCAAGAATAAGCGTAGCCCTACGCTCCTTGGCTTTAGCAATTCTTCGTCTATGGCGCTCAGCTTCGGTGGTAGGATGTCTCTTTGGAATTTCTTCAGGTTGAGTTTTAACTTTAACTTTCTTTTTCTTTTTCTTTCCAGAGGATTTCATGTCTCCAACTTCCCCCATTTCGCTGACGTCTTCGTCGGACCTACCCATCTCATTAAGAGAAAGAGTGGACCCAAAAGGAGACTTCAAAAATTTGGGAGCCTTAAGTAATGATGTCCTTCGTCCTTGAGGTTCACACACGAAAAGGTGACATTTCTCACGTTCAATGTTTTTCTTAGCAGCACTAGCCAATTTGCATAAATTATTCGGCTCTTGAGGAACATCGTCTTTAAAAGTTACTCTCTGTAACTCGTTGTCTGGAAGCTGGATTTGAGGTGTCGATGGAATCACGGAATCCTCTACTGCTAATTCCTCTACAGGCCCAGAATTCTCAATAATAATCTCCGGAGCCGCAACCGTGACAATAGGAGCAACATTTAATTCGGATCGGGTGCCATTGCTCTCAGGGATTTTGGGCAGTTCGGGAACTGGCGCAAATGCTTCGAAGTCCTTGGAGCGATCCGGCGGACTCGCATTGCTGAAGCTCGTGCATGTAGTCGTTGTCGTGGACTTATCCTTCACAGGATCGTTCGTAAACTCCGTGGCTACTGAGGACGATGCTTTTTGTCTTTTTTTAAGATGCCTTCTTGCCCGAGAACGAGCAGCTACGAAGATTCGACAGTACACAAACACCATCACGAAAGCGGGCACATAAAAGGAACCGAAGGCCGAGTATAACACATATCCAACATCATCACTCAACAAGCATTCTGGGTAATTAGAAGGCTTTTCGGGCTTCTTCCAGCCGACTAGTGGGGGCAAAGATATGATGGCTGATAGCACCCAAACACCGCATATCATAGCAATTGACCGACGAGGAGTCCTTTTCCTGAGATACTCAACTGCATGTGTTACCGACCAATATCTGTCCAGACTGATAAGGCAGAGACTATTGATGGAGGCCGTGCACAGGAAAACATCAAGCGCAGAGTGGATTTCGCACCAGATGCGCCCAAAGATCCAGTAGCCCATGACTTCTTTGGCCAACGAGAAAGGCATTACAATCAAGCCGACCAGGAAGTCAGAAACGGCTAATGAGGCAATGAACCAATTCTGGACCGTCTTGAGCGCTTTCTCGGTAGCGATAGCGATGCATACCAGCATATTTCCCACCACAATTAGGATCATAATGACTGTCACAAAAAAAGACGTCAGAATGATTCTGAGATGGGAATACCCGCTAGGGTAAACCGCGCCGTCCCACTCAATTGCGTAGTTATCCATGGTCCGGTCTCCATTCTGCCAGGCATATGTATAATTCTGTTCAGTTCTATTTATCTCTGCGGTTCCATTTAAAACTTGCCGGAACAATTCGTAGTCTATGGGTATAGAACTATAATGCACACTGCTATTAAGAAACATTGTACCATTTTCTTCCATATTTTTTCAGTTTGTATTTGGATTAAATAGAACTATTTTGCTTTCATTTTGCCTTTTTGCTTTGGGTTAGAAAGATGGTCCAGTTTGAGTTTATTCAGTAGGCGAACTGCCGGAAAATTTCATCCAATATTTTGTCTCCTTCTGTAGGATAAATATTCATATAAAACATATACATGGCGACAGCACCATACTCCAAAGGACTTCTCCATTCTTCCTACCTGAAAATAAAGAAAATAGAGGGTGTTAAGAGAATTAAAGGTCCTCGAAACTATGTTTAAGCTCGCGTTAACAAAATTATTTTGTACAATTATCAAAATTTCGTACCAGAATGAGAAAAATTAAATATTAACTACTGAATTAAAATCAAAAGTGAATAAATACCCTGCTAAAAATGCCTTGTAAAAATCCGTAAAAATATTGTACGTGGATCTGGTTTACAAGTGCAGGTAAAAAAAAAAAAAAAAAAAAAAAAAAAAAGACCTATATGGGTAACTGTAGGCTAAATCCTGATAAAAATCAGTAGACAAAAATGTGTAGATCTATACGGGTACCCACAGGCCAAACATCCATAAAAATCAGTATGCAGAAGTCCGTAGACCTACATGGCTACGCGTAGGCCAAATCTTCGCAGAAACTATTAGACGAAAACCTGTTAACAAAACCAATAGGTAAACGAGAGTCCATTTCCCTTTTTCGAAATTGTTGGCATTTTGGCAGTTAAGATTTACGTCTGTTTAATTGGGTTTCTTTCTTATATAATGGTGTGTATAAGACTCATTCATGCGTTTTCATAACGGATTAAAAAATAACGTTTTTGAATATTTTAGTGTATACGTTTTCTAGGTTTTTATCTTTAAGTAAATTATACTTTTGTGTCATTTTGCATTTCAGTTTAGTTATGATTTAGAATTTACTTTTATTTTTTGGTTGTAACTAGTAGGGTACCGAACATGCGTTGGCGTATTTCTTGTCATTATTAGAAATATTATTATCATTTTTGAACAATTAATTAGCAACGGTTTGATCTTCTAAACACTGACCTTTTTTGAAAAGTTTTATTTGAAACATTATACAGATGGTGATTGATGATATTTTTTTTTTATTTTACTATTAATACATTTTCATATTTTAACTACCCTTTATGAAACGTTTTTTCTCCAGATTTAACTTTTCACTACTATTTAACATGAGACAATATTAATTCCCTAAACAATTTTCCCGAAACAATTAATAACGTAAAAGGGTAATCTTTTTAGTGTAAAACATCATTTAAACATCAACACACAAATCATCAAAAAATCTTTTTAGTGTAAAAAAATGTAAAACATCTTATTCTAATAGTTTCTTTTTATACTTAATTAATTATTAAAATATTGTTACAAAATGCCCAGCTGCGATAAGATAGCTTCCCTGTAAAGCGGGTTGAGGGTTTCCAGAAAATGGCATAGTAAAGGCAGGATTGCCAGATTTGACGCAAAATCGCTCATTTGGCGACATTTAACTAGAAAATTGGCGATATGCCATAGACAGAGCGAGAGCATTCTAGAACGAATTCTTACCAATTTTCCCAGAATGTTCTCGAAGACAGGTCAAAAGCTATAAATACCCTGCGTGTACGCGGAGTAGCACTTTATTGTAGAGTGAGTGTATCAAGAGTTACCCTGCCTCTGACCCTGCCTCGTACAGCAGACGAACTGTGTCAAATGGTTGAAAGGGAATGTAGAGCCACTCCTCAAGACACTATCCGCACTCTTATTGACTCTTATGCCTAGACGCGTTTTTTTCGTGCATCGCTGCCCATGGTGGTTCTACATCCTACTAAGCCGACGTCGTTCTCGCTTTGTATTCTGACTATCATTTTGAAATAAAGATCACTTGTTCCTGTTTGCTGTACCATTAAAAGGGTGATAAGCGTTTTCTGTATTTGCATCACCAAATTAAAATTTTATAGTGCACTATAAATAAATCGTTCACACAGTCGTTTATTAATACTTCTCTCATTTCGCATTTGTTTACAAACAATTTATCTATTTTAATAATATCTATACAAATGGAAAATTTTAGTGTAAAACGTTATAACTACAGTATAACATAAACGTTCTCTTGCAGTATAATTAATTTATAAGTAATGTACATAAATAATGTTTAAACATATTCGAAAGTGATGCTAAATATCCTTACGAAACTCATAATTTTGAAAAGCTTTAGGTTTAACTGTCTTGTAAATACTTTCAATTGCTTTTGCAAAATTCATGCATATATAAAATTTGCTATTTCTAAATCAACTAATATACTGTGAAATTTCCCTAAAACATTTAACCTCAATTCCGGACAATGGCAATTTCTTGTCGCCACATACAACTGTCGGTGATTTTAAGCAGTGTTATTAAATTATGCTCTTTACAAATGTGTCATTGTCAGAGGTGGTAATCTTAAGGAATTAACCGCTGTATGAGGTTTCACTTTACAAAATATTTTTCAAATGAATTATTATTTCTATCTTATAATTCTAAGATAAGACCTATAATATCACATAAAGTCTATTTTTTATTCACAATTCTATTTCAAATGAAATTTAAAAAAATCCCATTCGAAAATTTATTCATCAAATTTTAATAAAATGAAAATTAAGATATGCATAAAAATGTTTGATTATATACGTTTTAATAAAATAACACAAAATATTTAATGTAACAACGTGACTCTAGTATGATACTTGTACAGAAAAATGGGCCAAGAAGAAAAAGCTATGTAAACAGGGTGAGCTACTATACGATCATATAAATTTTCACATAACACGACGACAAAGAATCCTTGGTTTACATATCTTGTCAAACTAATTCATTAACTAATGTACGTATTAAGTATTTTAATATTTACCTCATTAAAAACTTACCTTTTCGTTTGGGAAATATAATTAGCACATTTTTAAACATAAAACGTATCCTTCAGGATCAACCACGTCACATTACTAATAGTCGAAATATTCAAATTTTAATCATGTAAGAATTTTTCTAATTTTAAGTAAGGTATGTTCAAATTTATTACAACATCATCTTCAAATGATAAAACATCTACATCAACAAAGCCTCAAAAAGAATTTAAAATTTTAATTAGAAAACAAGTTTTCAAAAATTACAGTTTAAATAAAATAGAAAAAATGTATTTGTGCTTTTGTAAGCAAATAGATTCAAATTATCAAATCTGAAATTATTCCTACTTATGATAAAAGTACTAAAACACTGCTTCTTATAATAAAAGTAAAAATGTAAAATTAAGATCACATATTAGTTTCTTCTCACCGGAGAAATTCCATTTCAGAACTATTCAACCGTCAGCAAAATAATATAAACGATAATTGTTATGTCAAAGTATAGCACCGAAGTATCGAAGTTTACTCAAACGTTAGAATATTCCTTGCAAATTATTTCATATTCACCTCAATGCTGTTTTCAATTTTTCATTAGAAACATCTTAAAGGGGAAAACGTACTGTTTATTGCATAACTGCAATGTACTATCCAGCCAGACCATAACACAAACGTCCCATAACAACATTAACATGAACCGCGCTATGTTATTTATTGGCAAATTCTATTTCTAAAAGGGTGAGGGGAGGGGAATGTTCTCCTCACACGAAAAAGAATGGTTTTATTCTCAGAAAATATTCCATTTCTATGATAAAATTGAAACTATCACTCTTAAGAGATTGAATATGCAATTTTGTTCCGCAAAGGAATGAAGAAAAGGTGTTCGCTATCAAAAGGAGAGAGAAACTGTCATAGAAAATATTTACACAGAGCATGTTTTTTGATCCGTTTGTTTACTATTTTCATGAACTGTGCTTTGATCACACGCCTAGAAATCCCATCTGAAAATTACCAGGACTTCGTATAACTTAAGCAAATATAACATTAGATCACACGACCACTTCCACAACTGACCGCAAGATCTGAAATTACAAGTGGCTACCTTAAGGACTATTCAATATACATATAAACGAGCAACCCTCTCTTGGTGATAACGTCTCCAAGACGACCAACTTTAAAGTTGAACAGTATTACTGAGAACATAAACACTGGTTTCGAATATCACCTCTCTAAAGCGACCACTCCAGAAAACCTAAATCACACAATTTTGGTTTTTCTTTGACAATGGGCGTCTTAGAGAGATAATATTCAATACTAGCGTTTATTTGTGCTCTCAGAAATGCTAATATATGCGTATATAAACACGGGTGTATATTCGATGAAAAAACTCATGGCGATCACTTCTATAAGATAATCACACTCAAAAGAGACCAGTACGTCTGAGAACATAAGTATATATTGGTAATGAACATCACCCGTCGAAGGCGACCACCATCAAAAAAATTCTGAATCTGTGGATGGCTGCCTTAGAGAAACCTCATTGTGAGCAGGTGTTTAATTATACACGACAGTATCAATTATTGTTTATTGTTTTACACAAAAGTTTATAAAAAATAAAAAAGGAACGAGCATATATAGTGAACCCTCTTTAAGACAATCACTTACGTTTCCAAGTTACGCGTATCGTCTTAAAGAGGTCATATTTAGTGCTCATGTTTATTTATATTTTTAGAAATACTGATAACTTTCAAAGATGGTCGTTTTAGGGAAATGGTCGGGACAAGAGCTTTCACTGCATCTTTTTAATTCGAAACGTTACTATTGGTTACAAAACTGAAATAACATCGATATAAACATTAACAAATAAATGAGCTTAAATAATCAGTAGGCAACATTAATACTAAAGAATTTTGGTTTACTGATATAAGTTTTAATTTTCCCTAGATTTCATTATTTACAAATGGTCTATTAACGTCAGTTAGTAATTTCGGATAAACCTATGTAAACCAATAGATGGTCTATTGGATAATATTGGTCTATGAATTATCAATGAAATTATACTGGTAACCAAATACAATCGTAAGAAAACAAGCAAAAGTCAATAGAACCAGTAGAAAGTCATACTGATATTTATGTTCGTTGTGGGGGTATCAGTTGATACCAGTAAGTAAAACCAGTACGGACCAATGGAAACTAAAAAAATCGATAGAAATTCACATAATTTTTTACCCATTCTATTAGTTAATGCCTATACCTCATTCTATTAGGGGTACTCATAAAATGATTTACTGGTGTCTATGGGGTATTTTAAGCAGGGTAAAACAAGTTCTCAGTTTAAAACACGTAAGC